CAATAATATAGCAAGTCAGTCTTCTGCAAGGAGTCATGCTTAAATACACACACACACATGTTTAATAGAGAGGAGCATGTAATGATTTTGATATTAATCCTTTCGTGTAGGTGCTGCTTAGCTCCTCCCGTCAGGCTAACTCTTGTGTGTTTGCATGTTAACCCGTGCTAACCATTTTGTACAGCTTGATTATTTTATTTTATCATATATTTGATATAGTTTTAGGACAAAGTCTGTATCGGGACTAAGGTATGGACACAGGCTCCGAGGCATACGACGCATCGAGTCACATGACAATGGACCAGGAGCAGCAGGCTTGTGTCTCGATCCTTAAGTCCGAATTTACACTTGTATAGAATTAGTACCATGTATGTTTATGCAGTGTCTGACTGATTTTTTTTGTTTTTCCTGGGATATGTTGTCGACCCAGTGACACCAGAGTTCTTATATAATATGGTTTCCTTTTGGTTTCTATTACATGTTTCCATGCTTGGATTTTCTTCCTTGTTCCTTTTTTGTTTATCTCGAATGCATCGCTAAATATAACTTAGGCTCTTAATGACCTAAAAATATTAAAATTTTAAAAAATCCTAATAATAAAATATTAATATAATTAAAATTTTAGGATTAAAATGTCAGAATCTTTGAAAACATTGTCTTTATTTTTCTTGCATGGCCTTCGGGTCGATTTTTAAAATAAGTCGCATGCATGGCTATGCATCCCATCATGTCTAATAGGGCCTCCCTAAAATATAAGAACTGCTCTAGATAACTACATCATTTGCATATACTCGAGGAGAAGCCTCTGTGCTTCTCCAATTCGACTGACACATCATATTTTTTTTTACTTGGGTGGTTGTTTAGTGCACTTAGGATGTTAGAGTCATCCCTGACCTGGACGAGGTATAAGCCCTTTCTGTACATTGTTTCTAGCTTTGTAGTTGGGCCTCCTTTTCTCCTCTTTCCAGCGGCATCATTGTCGCTTCGGCAGGTATAAGTCTCATCTTTTGGAGCTCCACCTGATAGTCATATGATAGAGTTTTATTTCGTTGACCGAGATCATCATGAACAATGTAATTCACAGAATGTTGATCAAGAATCTCTGGGCGTGTTGGGTCGACTGCTTACATGTCCGGTTAAACGTAGGGTCTGAGTAGCGTGGAATAAGGGGTTTGTGGTACCCTGAACTGGCTACCTCTACATGTTTATGAATCACTTCTCCCTTCCTTTCACTGCCCGTCAGGCTCTGTCTCTTTTGACTTTTCGTTGATGTCATTTGGTGGGCCTCACTTAGCTGACAGGTTACTATCCGTTTGGGATACGACGATTTGCCCTCTGTCCTTATGGACCAGTCCGGACTCGAAACTGTGGGTTGTTTCCTACTAATGATAGGGTTGTTTCACAGGCCTCGATAGCCTATGAGCTACTGCTCATTTGGGACTGTGAGAGACTTACTCTTTGCCTTGTGGCTTAACGAGAGCTCAAAAAGCCGTCGAGATGTTTCTTATGAAATAAATCATTCTTTGTGACACCCTTGCTAGTTGTCACTCAATTGTAAGCAGAGCTTATGTGATCGAGATTATTCTTGGGCAATCCACTCGATGTAATTAACCAAATGGGATACGTCTCTTTGGGAGTGCTCTTGATCATTGAACAAATTTATAAATTTGGTTCTCTGGTTTAGGTAACCTATGTATGTTCTCTTTCGTGAATATTTGTTTCAATATTTTTCTGTTTGATTCTGTTGGATGTACACTCTTGACCTATCACAATAGATTTGTCTCCCATAGACTGTCCACGTTCTTTCTCTTATTTGTCTCCTTTGTCATATATCCTTGCCCTCCGATTCTTCCCTTCACTAGATCATCCATATGATCCGGAAGAGAGATTTATTCGGAAGGAAGAATTATACGATGATAAAATATACTGACGACTCCTAAAAAAAATAAAAAGAGAAAAAGAACCAAAACAACCCATTAGCCTCGTTATTACTTTGGAGGCTTCCTTTTCATAGCTTTTTTTGCACATGTGATAGTTAAAACTTCTCATAAATGGCACAATTAGCATCACCATTGGACCTAATTCACACTCAATTGGATTTAAAACTAAATAAAAAAAGGAAGATTAAACCTTATCAAGTGAGCTTAATAAGATGAATCTAAATTAATCCAAAGGAGACTACGGTTTGAAATTTAAGTATTTTGCAAATGTTTTACATTGTACTTCATTTTCTGCAAATCAAACAGTCACTTATTCGCTTGCAATATAACTCACTAATATTTTTTTGTTTTGTGCATTTGATCGTGATAGTCTTTTCATCGAGATCTTTCATAAACTAATCGCGATTCAAACGGTACATTTTAATTCTCTGCAATGTTCTTATAATTTTTTTCCTTTTCTATATGTAGTTAGCAATGAAATTGGTTGTTAGGAATTCATTTGTCGAAGTGCATGTGATGCTTTGAAACAAAATGAAGAATGACTTTTTTTAATCGTTTCTTTTAACTGTATTTTTTTCTTAGAACAAACTAATTAATATTTTTGTAAGAAAACATAGGATCAAGAGATCAATTTTCCTCTAAAGAGTACTAATTTTGCACATGCTAATTTTCCTATGGCAAAACTTATGTTGATTGTATATAAATGCCTTATTATTTTATTAAATTATCATAAATTTGATAATAATGTTATAACTTTGAAATTATTGTAATTGTTGTGGATTTCAAAATATTTAAAAAAAGAGTTGTTGTATTAATGTATTAACACAGGTTCCAAAAATTTGATGCCTCGACCTCCCGCTAAGAGAGTTTTGGATTTTATGTTTCGGGACAAATTTTTGGAAGGTTGATTAAATTTTTAAATAAGACCCAGAGATTTTTCCCTCATTTTGTAAAAACTTTTTTTGGTCTAGTACAAGGTATTTTATTGGCACAAGTCATTATAATTAGTTACTCCTCTTGATGGTAGGAGAGCACTTTCAATTAAGGCTAGTTGTTAAGGATGATAAGTGTCCAGACTCATCATATAATAGCAGCGATTAAGTTTTAAATTGATTAAATTTATCACAATTAACTTAGAGTTGGCGTGGGGGAATGGGTGACACACCTGATTGGGATCTCCTTGTTCCATTGTTCCGGGTTGTCATGGTCTCTAGTCTTCTTTTAGTTGAAGGAGATAGTCTACACAACCTAATAGAAGAATACTTGTTAGCAGCTATGAATAGATTCATCCATATGAATATTATGAACATGGGGTGGATATTTATTCAAGAGGACACGATTTTAAATTTAACTAAAAAATGTTAGGTTTATAAAAAATATTCGATATTTCACAACTCAATTGGCAAAATCATTGGGGAACTTACGAGGCTATAGTTATGATCGTGATTTAGTAGTGTGATTTGGCGGTGAACTACTTTATCAGAGAGCTCTAGTTGTAATTGTTGCTTTGTGACGTTATTTAATGACAAAATTATATGGGTAGAGGACACGGGCCACATTCTTACTAATTTGAGATTTGTTTTAGAGTGATTATAGATATTCACTTGACATAACATTAGCTCTTTGTGAGCTTAAGTTAGTTTTAAATTTATCACCCTTGACAAAATGGCATGGAGGTTGGATGAATTTTTTTTCTTTATTTATTTAAGTGATAATTTTTTCTTTATTTTGAACATTTTTAATTTACATTTAAAATTTGAAAGTTTTTATTAATTATTCCAATGAACCCTTCACTTTAGAGTTTCAATCAACACGACTATTGTCAGATAACTCGAGTAATTCATCTTTATTTATACATTGTCAACTCTACTTGCTTGACTGCAAACAATTGGGTCTGGCTAAAAATCATTTTTTTTCTGAATTTTAAATTATTTTCCTGTTTGTCTAGGTAAGTTTAATTTTGATTATAAACTTAATCTCTGCCCGCTTAGTATTAACAGACATTAATTTTTAGCTTTGATGTATTCATACGAGCCCATGCGTAATGTTATTTTAAGTTAGTCCGCGTAGCATTTTCAAACCTTGTAGTTGCAAGCTCAATACATAGGTCGGAGCACATGCAGGCTGATCTTAAGCAACCCGTGCAACATTCACATATCGCTTGTTAAGACATTTGGTGTATTGGTGAAAGCACATGCCAGGAGATTAAAATTGGTTTTAAATAATAGCACCAAGAAAGACATGTATGGTCTGAGTCTGGGGGCACCACGACTAAGGTGTTTTCATCCACCTTGCCCAAAAAAAGACACGAATGGGTCTTCAAATACCTGCATAAAAAATTATAATTGATTTTTCCCCCTCTTCAAGTACAAGTATACTTATAAGATACAAGTATACACATTTCCCTATTTTCTCACATATAAATTGTATGTGTACTTAATTGTCATAACACTTCACCTATGCTTATTAAATATCCATTTAGAGCAGTTTATATAGCTTTACTTTCTAAATATTTTTACAATTACAATTGGCTATTACTTTACCATGTCAATTAGAATGAGAATTATGTATAATTTGATAGCTATAACAAACTTCTTTTTCAACCTTGCCAAAATGGAATAAGTCTAGGAGTATTAATAGCTTTTATTTATTACTAACTTGCATGGATGTCTACATTTCTTCAAGCATGTGTGTCATGTTTAATACTAACTTCTTTCATTTTTCTTCATCATAATGGAGCAAATAACAAAAATGCATTTTATTGCTTACAACACTACTGCCAATCATGTAGATTGTGGTAGATTGAGCCTCCTTAATCTTGATATTATCAATCTCATAATATATATATATATATATATATTAGAAGATACTACAACTTTAGCTCTTACCTTTCCAATTAATGTCTTAAATTTTATGTTTCTCTTCAATTTGAAAATTCTCATGTAGGTAGATAATAGAAAAAGATGATGCCATAAGTGATCGTTAGCAACAAAGTCATTGTTCACTTGTATCACTCTAGAGAATCAGATTCAGCTTACCAGTAATACATTTAATGAGAAGAGCCAACAAGTTTGTTTATCGTGGGGTAAGAAATTCTTCTCACTTAAATTAACTTATACATTTGCTTTCGAAGAGAATTCTAAAACTCAATCGAGTAACCATACTCCAAAGAAAATTCCACTAAATTCCTCGTAACTACTTGTAAATCTCAACTCGAAAACAAATGTACCTTATATCTCATTGTCAATCTCAACTCGAGTCACACTCGTATTAATTCTTGGAATGCCCTTATTTGCTCGAGATCGGCATCCCCAATGGCAACTTATATCGTTTTTGGGGGTCAACCCTTCAAGTTTTATCTCATTCGGACATGTACCAACTGCAAAATCATCGAAAAAAATTTCTATTAGGCTTGCATATCATTGCTCCTTACATTTAGTTGGAAAGAAACTATGGGCTTTTCAAGAATGCTATCACTCATATTGGTGTTCTAATGCACAAAAGTCTATTTCATCATAAGATAAAAAGGTGGATTTCAAATGAGTTCCTTTTTTTTTTTAATATTTACATGTTGGCACATATTGAATGCATGTTTTTTGCTTTCATTTATATGTTTACTTCCCTAGAATATTAATATTATTATTACTATGACTATCATCAATATTGGTTTTACGTATTTGCAATAGCTATTTGGATTTTGGGTTTTTTGAAAGCCATGATACGAGCCCTAATAAACCTCATGTGCCTAACGACTCGATCACACACAGCAATACAAATGCACTCTCGTGTACCCATGAGACTCACAGCTTTCTGAAAGTCATTATGGTTCATATCATACCTAACTTGAGCCGACCAAAATTCATTTGTTTGACACCCAAGCAACACAAGGAATGGTTTATTTATTTATTTAAGTCAAACTGAAAAATGAGTGAAATATAACATTCAGAGCTTAGGATCGAATCCACTTATGCTTTGATAGCCATAACAAATTTATCTTTCTACTTTTTCTATATGAATCTATTAAAAAATTTAGGCGCATTTACATACATACCACCCAAACTTTAATATTTGCATTTATACCACCCAAAATTTTCATACCACATCCAAAAATTCATATTGCAACTTGGCGGCGCTTATTAATCGAAAATAAAAAATTCTGGAGATATTTAGGAGTTGCAATGCATGGATTTAGAGTCGACTAATGTGCTGAAGAGTTGCCTCAGTTGCAGAAATTTCTCTGTTGAAGGTGCTACACTAACTATGATTTCTCCTCATCTGACTGCGAGCTCGGCTCGTTGTTTATAGTGTCTGCGAAGTACTCAACTGAAATACAGACGGACACCAAACTTAAAAACAAAGTGAAATGCACCTCTTCTCATTCGTAGGAAACAAAAATTTTTCAGTGCGGACTTCTGACATGCGGCGCAGGGTATTCATGAGTTACTTTCAGGTTATTTCTGGGCTATTTTCAATAATCACGAAATAACGCAGAAATAACTCGCGGTCTTTATTTTTGGGTTATTTGATTATTGAAAATAACATAACCTAAAAATAACTCAGGAATAACCTGCGCCGCACGTAAAACTACGTCAGGTGTCCGGGCAGAAAATGCGCGCAGTAGGAAAAGTGGTATATATGTAAATATTGAAGTTAAGGTGTTAGATATATAAAAGTACATAGAGATTGAGTGGTATGTATGTCAATCTTTCTTTCGTTTAACAGAATTAGTTTTAATCTTGGGACATGAATAAAATTAGAGGAGGAAAGGCTGAACTTACCAATATCATCCTGTTCAGGAGAGTCCAGCAGGATATCCGAGTCTGAAGGAAGGAAGGGAGAGCCGGTGTAATCTCCCAGAGGTCCAAGATCTGTTGACAGGATCCATAACACATCCAAATAAGGTTAAAAAAGAAAAAAAAAACAATTGTTTAAAAATTTACCAAGAAAACAGAATGTTGTTCGGTGCAAGTTCAAGATGAGCAGTCTTATGTTGTACCAAGTAATAATTTAATTTGAGTAATGGCTCTCTGAGGATGGTTTGTGTGACAAATAATGAAAGGGAAGGGGGTATCTATAGAAAACGGGACGGCACGGCGGCTCTGCATGTGGAGAAATTTTTCCATACCGAATATGTGGTCAGCTCTGCGTGTGGAGTCCAGTAATATGCCTCCATGTGTGTTATATCGGGTCTACTTAAAAAAAATTAAAATGGAACCGCGGAAGTTATTTAAGAGGGTTATTGGGGGGTTATTGAGGGGTTATTCGGGCATTATTAACCCCTCAATAACCCCCCAATAACCCTCCAATAACCCCTCAATAATCTCCGCAGCTCCACTCCAATAACCCCCAATAACTTCTGCGGTTCCATTTCAATACCCCCTGCATTAACCCCTGCAAAAACCCCCGAATAAACTCCGTTGTTTTATATCAATAGCCCCACAATAACCTCCATATGACGGCATATTACTGGAAGTCCGCAAGCAGAGTTGCATAATTACTCCGTATGGAAATTTTTTTCCTGCATGTGGGGGCCGGGGCGCTAACTCAAAAATGTAGAGCACCGCGGCTATGCACTTTAATTTTTTTCTTTTTTTGGAATTTACATAGATACCGGACAATTCCTATGTATTTACATTTCCAACACCTAAACTTAACTTTTCTACATTTATAACACCCAAATCTTAAGATACCATAATTTTAATTTATAAAAAGTGAAATACATCTTCGTATGTACAAGTCAAATGACATGTATGTAAAATTTGAAGTTTAGATATCTGATATGCAAATACACAGGGAATTGAGTGGTATGTATGTAAATATTCTTTGTTTAACTAAGGATAGTCATATCAGATAGCCACCAGCACCATATGAATATGCACCCTACCTTCCAAATTAGTCAAATCAGCGGTCAGATCGGAAAGGCTGAAGTTCCAGAGTTGGCCTAAAGATCTGAGGGAGTCTCTGGACAACACAACCCTATCATCTGGCAATCCTCCCGATGCTTCTACATTCGATGTGAATGTTGTTGGTTCCAGAGCTGTAGCATCCATGCCCATTCCTGATATTTCAGATGGCGTAAAAGGGAAGTGATTCCTTGATGCTGCTGATGCGGGGCTGACGGCCACATCGTCGGCAGCTGGCACAGAACTGCATGGAACTGCAGCTGGAGCTGGTTCAATAGTTCTATTCATGAAAAACTTCGATGAAATCAGGTTTATGGTTTGGAAAAGGCGAGGAATCTAAGCAAGTAACCAGGCTTTACAGGATAAGAAGAAACTGACGAGTTGGTGCTTGTTAAACTGACAGTTAAAATAAAAATGGTGCATATAAAAAAACAAAACCACAGTGGGAAGTAGATGATTAACAAGTTGGTCAGGCGTGAATTCATCTTATATTCATGAAGGTAGGAGAAATAGTGAGAGAGTTTTAATAAGATGATAAAGACATAAGTAGGCTTTTTAAGGTTAACTTAGCACTTACTCATTTCCAGAATTCATCTGAATGCGTTGAAAGCCAGCAGGAACACCATTGACTACATGACAGCTAGATAGTCCACAAGCTATAGAATCAGGATGAGGTTGAGCTGGTGTTGGCATTTGTGGATGCTGAATGACTGTGTATCCCATAGGTAGGTTGTTAACTGCACTGCAAACAGGTCCATTTTGAATAAGAATGATAATAACAGAAAGTCAAGCATAAATGCAATGTAAATATGAAGTTTCCCGCAAATTATTTCCACGCATAAAAAGATGGCAACAAAAATCAGATTCAATGAGGTTTTGTGATTCGCCCTGGAGCCGAAAAATAGCAAACAAATTGCAAGAAATCAGCAAGGAAATGCAGATTCAGGGTAATTTTATTAATATCCAGGCAAATAAACAAGATACGAGGGTGATCTCCTCACGAACGTGATTATTGGCTTGACAGTCCCCACCGAGGGCCTGGAACCTTCCTAGGCAGCCATCTAAAAGTTCAGCCTACAAAGAATAATAATATTTTGCCTATTATTGCCCAAATCAACATGGGGGGTCTAAGTCTATCAATCCATTGGTTATTGTGTAGACTACACATGTTTCCACTTGACCATAAAGGCTTTCATGGTCGGCTAAAAGCCATCTTGTGTAACCATGAAAGCTCCTGATATACCAGAAATACGGATTTGAGGGATCTGATGGAAAACACCATGTCAATGCAATTGAAGCGAGCAAAACTTCTGTGGGTCAACAAAACATTGCTCTCTCCTACATATTGGAGCAAGCTTAAGGGCAGAGGAACAATGCCAGAATACATGGTTTTGAAAACCGGACATCCTAACAGAAGGAGAAAATATTCAAAGTTCAAAAGTTGAAACGGGATTTGAACTGATTAATATAATAAACATTAAATTATCTCAATTTAACTTAAAATAGTAAAAAAATTATATAATATGCATAATAAAACTTATTTAAAAATTAAAATATTATAATATAAGTATAAAAATATAAATTATTTAATGATATGTTTTAGCAATTCTTGATGCCCAATTCTCATAGCCCAGCTCAATTTTCGTAGGTCGGCTTAGCCCAATTTTCATAGCAAAGCTTAATTCTTCATTCCTATAGTTAGTCAAAAAACTCATTTAGTTTCACATCATAGAAAAGTTAATATAATAAACATTAAATTACATAAGAAAAAAGTGTTTGTAGCTCACTTTAGTGGTGTTCATATTGGTCATAATTTGCATGCTAATTTTATGTTTATATCATGTAAGAAAAATTTCCAATTTCAGTTGAATTACATCAGGAATCAATTTTAAGCACATATCATTTTGCTTTAGTCATGGATGCTCTTGCTGGACATTTACAAAAGGATGTACTTAGTTATGTTTTTTGCTGATGATATCTTTCTTATGGATAAGGTTGTAGAGAGAGCTCAGAAAAAACTTGAATTATAGAAGTCAATTTTAGAGTTTAAAGGCTTTCGATTGAGTAGATTTATAACTGAATACATGGAATGTAATTTTAGTAATAGTAGATCTAGTAATGGAGTTGTAATAATGTATGAGTAAATTATTAAAAGAATTGAATGTTTTAGATATCTCGGGCTATTGTTCAAAGTGATGGTGATATAGATGGGGATGTTATTAGTAGAATTCAAGTTGGATAGTTGAATTGGAGGAATGAAACAGGCCTATTGTGTAATAGAAAAGTACCACATAGAAAGGAAAATTTTATAAGACGATGATGAGAACTGAAATGCTTTATGGTGCAGCATTTTGACCTGTAAAAGAGAAGGAAAGAAATTAAGTGTTGATGAGATGAGAATGCTCAGGTGGATGAATGGTTTCACATTAAAAGACAAAAAGTGAAACAGATATATCTTTGAAAAGGTTTGAGTAGCTCCAATGGCAAACAAGAATAGAGAGAGTCGCCTTAGATGTTTTGGCCACATTAAACATCGGCCATCTGATGACATTGTTAGGAGAGTAAGTGTTTTAGATTTGACTTATGCTAAGAAAAGTAGAGGTAGACCTAAAAAGACTTGGCTATGTTGTATAGAAAATGATCTTAATTTATTAGAATTTAAATAAAAATATGACACTCAATAAGACAATGGAGGAAAATGATTCATGTAGCCAACGCCAGTATGGATAAAAGCTTGTTGTTGTTGTTGTATAAGACAACAACAACAACAACAAGCTTTTATCCCACTAATTGAGGTCGGATGCATGAATCCTTTTTCTCTAATGCGTCCTATTAAGTGTCATATTTTCATTTAATTCTACTAAATTAATATCATATTTTAGACAATATGCCGAAGTCTCTTTCTAGGTCTACCTCTGTCTTTCTTAACATAAGTTGAATATAAAACATCTACTTTACTAACCAGATCATCAGATGGTCGATGTTTAATATAAACAAACCATCTAAGAAGACTATCTAATTTTATCAACCACTGGATTTACGCCAACTCTATCACGGATATATTCATTTCGCATTTTGTCTCTAAAGTGTCAAGTGAGTGTCAAGTGACTCATCCACTCATCCACCTAAGCATTCTCATCTCGGCAACACTTAACCTAGTTGTTGTATGAGAATTAATTTTAAATTAAAATATTATATTTTGAGTTTAATAAATTTATTTACAATTAATTACAAGTCCTTTCAAACCAATATCGATGGCTAGTTTGCTAGTTGAACCGATTGTTCTTGGTGATTTTAGTTGCATCGATGCAGGAGATGATTTTTGTATGAAATAGAACCAACCCTACTACCGGTTCACGATCGAACTAGTTGAGCCGACTAGTTTGATCAGGTTTTCAAACTACGTCAAAATATGCAATCTTCAATTAGCATACAATAATGCACGCTGCAAAGAACTTCATATTGACATGGCAGTAGAAGAATTCTGAATCAAAACAAAACAGAAACTCTACCAATAAGTATTAGGAAAAATAAAAAAGCAATAGAAACATGAGAAACAATCTGTCCAAGCAGAAGTACATTAATCAAAGTAAGAAAAAGGCACAAATGGAAGAATGATTTAAAAAGCATGCGGTGCAGTTTATATATATATATTAATCAAGATCCTGATGGCACTTGCAAAAAGGAACTAATTCGATTTGTCTAATAACAACCACCGAAAAATTTAATTTAAAGTAATACAGAATATAATAAAATTTAAAAGTGGCGCAGTGTCCAATGTGATAGTAAAACATTTCACGAGGTTCACTTGAAACATTTAAAAGCCATAATCAGAGAGAAAGGCTGATTGAAGGGAAAAAAGGTTCACTGGTTAAAATTTTTAATAGATTTAGTCTGCCCTCGAACAAGCCTACATACCTCTAATGAAAGAAAAGACAGCATAGATAATAAGAAGCATTTTCGTTTCTAATAAACCTAAAGTCATGCCACTCATAAGAAATTTGTGTTTCACTACGCAGGAATATTTTTGAAGTTGAACCAGCAGCTAGTACTTTAAGTAAAACAAATTACTGATAGAAATCACTCCCCAAATATTCAATATCTTGCTGGATATAAGTAAAACAAAGTACCAGGTATAGGATGAATCCCATTTTGAATGGGTGTCTGAGGAACCTTAAGTGGAATAGGATATTTCATCATATGGTACTGATGCTCTAGTAAATGATTGAACATAAGGATCTGTTTTTTGAGTTTTAGCCTTATGTAATAAGCCCTGAAAAATTCAGAATTCTCCTCTTCAAGCTTCTGCCATACTGAAATAACACAAAAAGAAAATGAGCATTAAGTAAGATGTAACCATTCAATGATGGAAACTGGAAAATAAATCCAGCTGAGATTATCACAATCCTAACTTCTAAAAGAGGATGGATATGCTGATTGTACCGAACCAAAAAAGAACCAGAGTAGACTCGTGAAATCTCAAAGTTGATATCATATATAGGACATAATGTTCGGGTTTTATCGTGCAATCTAACATATGTCTATGAGGAAGAAGATTATAGAAAATCGATCAAGATTTAAAGTAGATTTAGAAAGGCTTAGCATAATTTTCATGTGATTGCAGATATTAGTCCAGTTATTTTCCAGACAATAAAATGAATTTCTTCTCAACAAAAAAAACTCCTTAATGTTACAATCGATAAGAAAGCTAGCATTACTTCCTATAGGAATGCAAGGTTAAAGCTATATATATTAGGTACTCATCCTTTGATAATAATATTCACAATTTATTCAGAATGGGAAAGGTACTCCCGATTGACAGATATATCAGAAGCCACTCTGCATTGAACTCTAAATAACTCTTAAATATTCTTCCTACCTAAGGTCGTAAAGTTTGGCACAATTCTAGCACGACTAGACAAAGTTCTGACCACTTCTCCTTTATTCATATAAAGTTGTAGGCACCGCTCTATCAGATTTTGAACCTGCAGAAATTTTTAGCAGATTACGAAGCACTACGTAATAAATTTAAAGGAAACAGTTTTATTCATTCTTCAGTAAAATCAGCAACAACAAGACATCTTACCAGTTCAATATCTTCACGGGAAACTTTTCTGTTATCATTTTTTGCAGCAGATACTGAACTAGAATCTGCTGTGTGCGGTTCATTGCCTCCATTATTCTGCTGGTTGCCTTGAGAATCTTGCGAAGGCGGTTGCATTTCTGCAGCACTAGAAGAATCCTGCAAAATTCAAATTCAGCACATCTAACAGTGATATTACTAGTAGCATCATGCGACTACGATAGAGAATACTGTAGAAGCGACCATAGTATAACAAGTTTGCTTATGATATGCATCCGTTTCTATTATGGAACTGTTAACCGTCAATAAACATAATTGAGACCTCAGTACACCTCAGGTTTGAAATATTAGACCAAAATTAAGTTAGCCCAGCTATAACCAAAAGTACCGCCAAGATTTCCCTGAATGTATTATCAGGCACTACTTTCTGTTCAACTTGAAGAATCCCCTCAGGTAGTGGCAGAACCGGTGGACTCTATCTCTTATCATCTAAAGATCCACAAAAAGTGAAATATAAGGAAGATCAATTGGCCCAAAGAGTTTTAATGGATGATGATCAATATGAACTTAAGAAAAACATCCTAGAGGATGAGGAAATAACCTTTCAAAAGGATCATCTTGGGATCTTAGTAGTAGGACTGTCAATTTGGCTCGTTGTTCGTGAACAGCTCGTGTTCGGCTC